ATGGACATAGCCCTTTGTGCCGTGGTCTGGTTGACATGGTGGTGTTAGGCCACAGGCTGGACTTGATGCTCTCAGAGGTCTTTTCCAACCTAACTGATTTCAGGATTCGGTGATACCTGCTTTTGGGAAAGCAGCAATTGTGGCACTGTGCATGCTGGCTAGGTGAGGGATCACTGGCAGACAACATCAATCCTAGCATGCTTGGTTATATCCCAGGGAATTATCCCTTTTGGGGTCTCTACTTCGCTTTGCTGCTCACTGCTTGGACAGACAAAGACCCACACTTCATGTGTGTAGCTCTGGGTGTAGTCTGCAGTATAATCCTACTGTATTGCTCAAGGAAAACTGCCTCAACATGAACAAGAAATGCCATGTCTGGGATGTTTGGGATAATTGTATGAGAAATGGGTTCAGTTCTATCAATTCTGTCATGAGCAGTTGAAAGACTTTTCTGCAGAGCAGCTGTAATTGAAAGATCAGTTCCCATGGAAGCTGCTCTCATGTAGAGGGTTTTTTCCCTGAGATGAAAGGACCCCTCTTGCCTCTCCAGCCTTTTGAATACGCATTTGTAATCTAAAAGCTGGCAGGTGTCTTTGTGTTGTTTTAAATGGTTATGCAGTGACAGTGTCCATGCATCTCATCATCCCTAATCTATTTATAATCAGGACACCCTTTGATACCTCCTTCCTTAAAAATTATCCCTACCTCCATTTCGTGGGTGGAGAATTAAGGTACAAAAACTGAAGCCTAACCAAGTGGTCATGCTGTGCATGGAGGAAAACTAAATTGCTGCAGAGAGTTCCTGAGCATGCCAAAAGGAAAGGCTCAGTACAGGGACTTCAGTGCCACAGTGGTGGGTTGGACAGGACAGTTGGAGGGACTCTGCTTCAACAGGCAATTAAAATTAAGCCACAGATTAACGCCTTAAATTTCCAGACCACTGTCACTTCCAGATGTCATCAGTGTTTGGCTGCTTGTTTGGTGAGGGCTGATGCCCTGTCCACCTTGCTACAGGTGCAGAAGTCCTTCCTATCCATTCCCCAACCTTTAACTTTTTTTGAACATTTTTGAGTGTTAAAAGCAACATTATAGTTCACGTATAATTGTGAGGATGGCAGGCTGCCTCCCTGTACATTTCAGTGCATGTATATGGTGTTTTCCAGCTAGTGCACTGACTATAGGCTGCAATCCATCCCAGAGAATGGTGCATTTCAAGATGTTATTCAAATGTGTATTGCACACAGATAAAACACCACGCAGGGTTGTAAAAAGAGATCATGTTGTCCTCTAGTGGTTGTGCAAATATTATGTTTTATTAATAAAGAAATTGATCAGAAATACCCGTGAAAGCCATTTCAGTAGCCTGTTATTTTACAGCCAAATACATCTGAGGGCTGCCTCCCAATATCAGAATATCAATCAACTGCTTAGTCTATATTCAGCACTGAATTCCTGCCAAATGTCATAGGGTAAATTAAAAGCTTTTTTCCTTATCTTTACAGCTTAGCCCCAAAAATCAGGTCTGAGATGATTTTTTTTTTTTTGGTCAGTTGCATAACAGTAAAAATGGTTTAAGAGATCTAAACCCTTTCATTTAAAATAAAGCCCACGCGGGTTTGCTACACACTAACTTTCAGCTTGACCCATTCTCTAGCAATAAATACAAAACTCAAAAAAAATGCAGAACAAGAAAAGAAGCAAACACAGTTTATAGACTGCAAATATAACTATAGCATTGCTCTCTGAACAGGGAAAGTAGAGCAAATAGGCAGGTATAAAACAGCTGGTAAGCTGCAGTGACTGGAGTATCACCCATTTATTACTTTCCTATTCAACAGCAGGTGAACTGAGACCAAGGGCTGGGGTCTGAGTAGTCAGAGAAAATTAACTCTTGCTCTTCAGGGAGTAAAAAAATCAGGTGTCACTTTGGAGTTGACAGTAATGCCTCTGTTTTTTGTTTGCAAAATGCCTTTTTCTTGTTCAGAAAGGCAGATATTCTCAGTGTGTATGGGGGTTACTGTAGAGTGCTCACTGCTCTGTTTTTCCTCCTTAATTCGGCAGAAGTCTCCAATAAAAAAAAGTACACTGGTGATGGAGTGTGCTGTCTGTGTTACCAGAACACACTGTCAGCTGCACAATTTAGATCTGGTCTGCTGCAACAGGCTTTAGGGCTTTGCTTCTAGTTAAGCATTTGTGAACCTGGCATTACCTTTTGTGGATTTTTAGAAACAAACTTGGGAAGATCAGTCATATTTAATAGCTTGAGAACAGCACAGAACTTGGGGGTTTTTAACCCCTCTTTCTACTGCAGCTTTTCTATCTCTAAGCTATTTTTTGTATTTATGACAACAATGTCCAGAGGAAGAACTAAAAACAATAACAGAGTAAGATCCATTGGGGAGTGTCACTTCAGCTGGGAAAACATAAGGAAGTTGATCTCAAAGAGCAAGCATAACTTAGAAGAATGTAACTCTACCTTGCAGAAGTTTTGCAGCAATGACTTTGTCTTTCTTCCAGCCTATCTGAGATGGAAAGGAGAGGAGGGATGGACAGACACACAAGTACAAATGATTTCTTTTGATTAGACAAGGTCTGGTAAAACATTTATGTTAATTAGACCTCAGAACTGCAGGGAAATCATAACATCTGTGATAACCCCAGCATTCACTGTTACTGTTGGTGGTGAGAGATCTCATCCTAGCTACAAGACATTTACTTAATTGCCCCACTTGCTAATAATGAATTACTATGATTTTAAAATGCATATGACATCATCTGCCCTTGATGAGATAATTTTCCTATTCTGGTAGCATTTACAAGCTGTAGGCAAGATAGGGACTTGCTGTACCAGGTGCTGTGTGACGCAGTCTGCGACAATTACGGCCTCGAATGTTTTAATTTTTAAATTAGGACAGGCAGAGCATTGGGGCCCAGTAAAGGGAGGAAAGCAGTCATGATGAGATTGTGTGGCTGTGGCAGAAATTAGCTTATGCACAGTTCAAAGGATTTTGTTTGCAACAAGGCTGCAAAGAAGACAGGAAAGGAAGGGCATCAGGGCAGCTCAGGGACCCCTGAGCATGCCTTTTGGTAATGAAAAGCTCTGAGGCTCTGAAGAAATGCAAAGGAGCAACAGAGGTCTGCAAAGGCCAGGGACATGGCACTATACCCTCAGACACATGGGAGGTAAATAATAATGGACTTTGCAGAGTAAAACACTTAACTTCCCTTCAAGTTAACTGGAAAGTCAGAGGTGTGCCCAGCTCACTGGTGGGGCAGCCTTGGATGATGTACTGCTACAGTGCAGAGTCTGCTGTGCTGGAACTCTTGCAGCCTGCTGCTGCTGCTACATGTGATGAACACATAGAGAAGCAAAACAGAGCTTCTGAGGAGTCTAGCAGCATTTCAGCAGCACTAAAGCCACTTCAGGGGCAAGAAGAGGAGATTTCTTCCCTGGCTGCCTCAGTGCTGGCACTTGCAGCTCCCTGCACTGACAGTTCCCATTCACACTGCTAAGTGGAAGTGTTCCCAGTCCCTTGAGTCTGCCTTTGATAACACCCTTAGCACACAGTCTGGATGATTGTTTGCAGGAATATCATGGTTTATCCTTACAAGTGGTTCCTCCTGGTATCTCTGAGATATGTATGTTTTTGACACATTCCCTTCACTGATGCACTTCTGGGCAGCAAACATAAAGGCAGAAAAATCTGCTGTGCAGAAATTAAATCTCTCTTGTCTAGGTGTGAACCTTGGGAGGATTGGTTGGTTTTCAAAACACCCAACTAGGAGTCTTGTCCTTCGCAGTCTCTGCAGACTTTGGAGTTATTCTAAATATTAACGGAATAGCAATCCCATTATGTAACATTTTGCTGTTGAGTTTCAATTTCAGAAATTATTTGCTAGATCTTCTGTTTGGAACTAGAAGCACATTCTGCAGTGTTGTGCTATTTATAGCTTGGGATGAAGCAATACTAAAAGCATTAGAGGCAATCAGAGAAAACTGCTAGAACTGGACTCAAGGGAAACCACTTCAGGAGGTTCTTTTTGCAACAGGCAGCTGAACTGTGAGTTGCTCAATCAGAAGATGAGGATGCAAACTTTGGAGGGGTCTGAGATAGACTAGATAAGCAGAGAGACGGACTGGGCATTACCTGCCACATAAGCATGAGGGTTCTGGAAACCCTCAGAGCTGGCTGGCTGTAGCTGGGAGGGTATGGAGACAGAGCTTTGGGATACAGTAACCACATCTGCTTGTCCTGCTTTTCCCTAGGTGTTGGCTTATTGCTTTTTTCACGTGGGGAGGATACAGACAGCTGCTGCTGTGCATCAGTCGAGATTCTTCATCATCAGCTGAGCTCCTTGATCATCAGTGGAGATGGGGAAGGGCCTTGAGGGGAAGCCATATGAGGAGTGGCTGAGGTCACTTGGCCTGTTTACTCTGGAGGAAACTGAGGGGAGACCTCACAGCAGTTTACCTCTTCCTCAAGAGGCGACAAAGAAGGACAGGCAATCCAGTGACAGGACCTGAGGGAATGCCCTGAAGTGGTGTCAGGGGAGGTTTTGGTTGGAGTTTGGGATAAAGTTCTTCACTCAGAGGGTGGTTGTGTACTGGAACAGGCTCCGCAGGGAAGTGGTCACAGCACCAAGTCTGACAGAGTTCGGACAATGTTTGGACAATGCTCTCAGGCACATGGTGGGATTTTTGGGCTGAGCTGTGCAGGACCAAGAGCTGGACTCGATGATCCCGGAGTGTTTCCAGACACATTCTATAATTCTTATGCTAGCACACCAGAAGCTGTCCGAGCACTCCAGCGAAGCCACATCCAGGGCGCTCCTCCTCCGTCGAGTTCCCTCACCTTTCGGGAGTGAAACAAAAGCCTAAAAAGAACAGACACCAAGCAGCAAAGCCCCCCGCCCGAGCGCAGCCCGCCTGGCCGCGGGCTCCCCCTCACGCGTCCGTCGTCACTCGGCCCAGCCCCGGCGGGACGGCCCCGCCCCGGCTGAGGCGCCGCCGCCGCCCGGTGTCCGCGGGGCGGCATGCGGAGAGCCGGGGGCGGCTGCCGGGGCCGCCATGTCGCTGCTCTGCGTGCGAGGTGAGCGGGGCGGCGGAGCGGGGGGACACGCCTGGGCAGGGTTTGGCTTTGTCCTAGGTGAAGTGGGTTTCAGCCTCCCTGGAGCGGGGACGGGCGTGCCGGTGCCTCCCGCCTGAGCCGCGGGCGGCCGCGGCCCGGGCCGCCACCTGCACCCCTGGGCCGGAGGTGCCGCATGGCGAGGGAGCAGGTGCGGGTCCAGGAGCGGCGGTCCCGGCCGGGGAGGTCCGGAGCCCCGGGAGGAGCTGTGGCTGACTTTGGGAGTTGGCTCGGACACGAGTTGAATCGCCCAGTGAACGGCGCGGGGAGGAAGCAGGCTGCTGTCACTCCGTATACTCGCCTTCGAGCGTGCATTGTTATTTCACATGCATTCCTAATTACCTCCTCATCCTGTTATCGAGCCTCGTCCCCTTGCTGAACAGGTTGCGGGAAGCCGGCACTTTCTCTGCAGAGTGGATTATAGAGCTGTCTCCGGTTTCCCACTTCTTGCTGCCTTGTGCTAAAAAATAATGATAAAGAAATCCGTGGGGGAAACCATCTGCCAGAGCTCACGCTACTGGGACGTGTTTCCCTGCACTGAACGCCGCGGTCACAGGGCGTCCCCGAGTGCAGCCGTGCCCTGCGGCTTAAAAGTGTAGTTTTAATGTTCTCAGCTCCTTTGCCAGGAATGATAAAAAAACTGGCACTGCTGGCAGTTCAGCTCTTCTGTCACACACACAGGTTTACTGATAACAGCTCCTTATCCAGCTGTTCGTCACTCTTTTGAGTCAAAAGCCCTGTGTCGGTGATGGTGTAAGATGCCCAACAGAGCATCTTGAGATGTGTTCTTTTGGCGAGAGTGCTGTTTTTGGGGAGTGTTTCTGAATTAGGTTTCAGCCCTTTTATTAAACACGTGTTGTGTTTAAGGGCTTAGGAGAGGCGTGCAAGTGCAAAGTTTATCTTAAATATGCTTTTCGTACACTTCTGTGTAAACTGTGAAATGCAGACTTGTCTTGCCCATTTTGAAGGTTTTGCCAAAATCTCTTCATTGAAGCTGAGTCTTACTAGCCAAAGGATGCCTATGTGTATTATTACAGGGGGGTTTTTATTCTTTCTGGTGGTTCATCCTCAAAATGTTTTCAGAGTGTCCTTTAAAGGACACTCTGGTATCAAACACTGTGGGTTTGATACCACTTGAAGCTGATTGTGTTAAGAATGTATTTACACACTGTTTGCAAGGAATAGTGAAAGAACATGAACTGAATGATTGAGCTGCTGAAAGTGTCTTCTGTTTTCAAGGTGTTTATTCTTGATCTGTAGAGTTTTTAGGACAAAAGCATTTCAGGAGCCTGGAATAGTGTGCTCTTGTGTTTCATTTATTCTTTGTTTGTGTGAAGAGCTAAAGAAGAAATTTGAGGTGGCTGGTGACTTTGTGTGAAGAATTACTGTGAAAATTTTATCTTCCATTTCCATCTGCTGTGCGAAGACAGTAGAAGACACCAGCATTCATTTAAATGGATGATATTGGACAACTTTATTATAAGACTGCAGAATGTAGTCAATTTACTAAACGTCAAGAAACATGTTTTCTGAAATAGGCTTGACTGAAAGGATGAGCTGATGAGATCTCACAAGAAGCAACCATCTAACATGATATGGAAGTATGTTGAGGTGGAGCAGTGTGAAAAACAAGATACCAGGAGCTGAGATAAAACAACTAGGGCAAGGAGGAGGTGGCTTTATTAATTGTTAGTTTTTTAAAAAAGCTCAACAAAATGGCACTTCTCTTGATTCTTTTACCTTTCCATTGAAATGAGCTAATCTTGTTGAGACAGCAGTGACCTGTTAGTAAGAAAGTTGGAAAAGCTGGGGTTTTTTTCTATTCAAAATGATACACATATAAGACTACATAGTAGTGTGAGGTTGGATGGTGTAGAGCTGAGACGAACAAAGAAAGACAACAGAAACCCCCATGGAATAAATGTAGGTGATTGGGACACTGTTAATAGCATCTGGATTGCAGTTTTACGTATAAAGGAAAATGTGGAAAAAGCCGTAAGTGTCAGCGTCCCAAGAAGCCTGCCAGTCAGAAGGATAGTCTTTTAGTTTATTAATTTATTTTCCACCCCTCTTGAATTGTGTGCATTAATAGTATTTTAATGAATCACTAATCTAAAACAGTGCTCAGTGTTTGTGACCAAACATGTCTGGGTGCTGCCTTTGTTCCTGAAAAACCAGCTAGAATATATGTCTTCTTGATGTAAAGTGCTACATTTCTTTTACTTTCTGGGAGAACAAATAATTTTGTGTGTGTGTGTTTTTGTTTTTTTTTCTTTTTTCCCCTTTGTTTGTTTATTTTGATTTGTTGTTGTTTTGTTGCGTGACATTTTTTTGTTTGTTTCTTTGATGTATTTATTTTACTTTGTTTTGTTTTTTCCAGAGTCATTGAGCTGTATCTACTATAGAAATAGGAAACACCTGACAGAAAATCTAAGCTCAGAGGTGTGGGTCTGGGCTTTTCTGCAACAGTTCAGGGGATGTGTGAAATAAGCCAGTGGTAATGGGCTGTTGTAGGAGCAAATTAAGGAATTCTTTTGAAGCAGGAAAATATGCAGTGTGTATAAGTGAAGTGAAGGAGAAAAGAAATCTTGAATATTACATGATTGAGGCTTTTAGGAGACTTCTTCCTATTTTTGATTCCACTGCTTAAGTGCAAGAGAGGTTGCCTACACTCCTGTTGAGAGCAGCTGTGTCTGGATTATGTCTGATAATCTTCTCTTGGCATAGTTTGCTTTATTAGTTTGCATTTAGTGTTATATTTGTGAAAATAGTACATATTAAATAAAACTAATCCCAGGGAAGCACTCTAGTGTTTCACATCAGTCTTGCATTGTTAACTTTCTTGGCTTTCTCTTGTAACTGTTGATTTTACCCCAGATATCAATCAGATAAAATTTCTTTTCCTGATCTTTCCTGTCTCCTGACTTGGTGATGGGAATAACTGCTGTCTCAGCACAGCTTGCAGGGGTCATAGCAAAATGGACCCTGCTAAGGCTGGTTCACTCTGTTTATCATTGTCCTGACACATAGTTCATGCCCTTTCACCTGCTCACTTTTATTGCATCCTTCTTTGTTCCCAGCTCTTGCTTTCTCAAGACTGATGGTTCTCTTCTAGTTTTTCTCCTCGCTGCTTCTTAGCAGCTTAAGCTGTGTCTTCACTGTCACTGTATTCCAAAGTTTGGCCTACCTGGTGCACCTGATAATTACAATGCCAAGGAAGTTGGCAGTGGGGTTCTTCCCTCATCCCTGTGCACAGTACGTGGCTTAGTCCCATAAGGTCATAGTGCTTTTGTGTAATGTGCCTTTATCTTGGGGCCTGATCCACAGTATCTGTGTGAGATTTGGCTGTCAGAGTTACGTGGAAGAATGACTTGGGTGAGCTCTTGCACTCTAGAATTTCAGGTTGACTGCTGTGTGAAATGACATTGTCTGGAGGTTAGAAATTTTTTTTTTGTTTGCCTAATGTTTCTCTTGCGGCTGCACTGAAGAATTAGAAGAGCTTGTGACTTTTTTTGTCAAACCAGCTGGAGTGTTGGAATACCACTCACAGAACTTAACTGTCCATCCCTGTACTGCCAGCAAAATTTGAGTTCCAGTGTGAATTGAACTGTGTTGACATCCAAGTGAAAGAAGGAAAGAAGGAAAATGGAAATGGATGTTAATGATAAAAACATTCAATCTTGTAATGTACTTAGAAATACCTATACTTAACAGTGGCCAAGCATCAGGAACTTCTCTTTAAAGGATTTTTCCCCACCTTGATGTAATGGACTGGACTTACCTCAGTGTTCTCTGAAAGTCTGAATGCAGTGCCTCCGGCTTGCTGTTGTGACTGTTCTGAAATGGTTGTAGAATTGAAAAAAAAACTCTATCCATCTTTTTGTAGGTCAAAATGATGAAGAAGAGAATTGAACATTAAAAGTAGCAGCAGAAATGCAAAGTTATAACACTAGGACATTAAAATAACACAATGATTCATTTAGAATTTGCTGTGTGACTATTATGAACTCCATTTCTCTATTTGTCCTTAGTCAGGAAGTTACCAGTGTGTAGGTAGTGTTGGATCAAAATAAAGTGCATTAGAAGTTTGGGTAATAAGGCTAAGATAGAAGTGTTCTCTACTAAAAGAGCGTTTTTGTGCTGAGAGTTAAGTTTTAGGTTTGTAAAGCTGTAATTGGAGAGAACTTTTAAAGATTTCTAGCTTTTTCTGTTGTTCAGTAAAACCTGCAAACCATGTATAGCTTCTGATGCAAGGGTGATCATTTGATTTCCTGTTTAAAATCCTCACCCTTTCAGATTTGGACACTGTTACTGCAAGCTTCAACAAACAGTGTGGAACCTATTTTTTAGTTGTTTAGGGTACTATGAAGTACTTGAAACCTCCCTATAGTTCTCAATGGGATGAAGGAAAGGTACAGAGATGCTTCCTGAATTTGAATAGTGTCTGTTTGCTTCTTGCTCTCATGGTGTACTCTGAGCTGACTCCTTCCGTGTGCTATCTTCCAGACCTAACTTGTTAAAGTTGTTAATAGCATACTTTTTATATGCTATATAATATGTAAAGGGCTACATTTAATCTAAATGCTGAAAGAACCTAATTTTAAGCTCTTAGCCATCCGAAATCTAGTTGCAGCTTATGAAAGTCCAAGCAAATTAAACTGCTTTTTTAATCCAGGACCTTATTTCAAATACTTGACTTGAATGCATGTGAAATGCGTATGTCTGATGGCAAATCATCTTACAATATATTTCCTTTGAAATTTCTTCTAGATATTTTTTGTGCCTTGTGGTAAAATTTTACTGGGTGTTTTGAAAAATACTTTAATCACTCCATAAAAGCTGTTCTTGCTACTCTTCCAAGAGATCTTGAACTGTGGAAGGATGTGTCTAATAACTCTTTTCTCTGTTGCTTTTTTCTTCTGATAATTCCCTGTGTGGTCTTGCAAACAGATTTGGGGCTGCTG